CTTTACACTGGATCTGGGATGTGACCTGGGTAAGGGTGGTGTTACAATCCCACCCTAATCCTCTTTAACATAAAATTACAATCACAAAATGGAGGCCAACCACACAATTCTGGGAATCATGGCCCACCCAAACTGATACACACATTTTTGGGGGGACATAATTCAAACCATGACACTTATCAATAATGTTTTTGTATCCTGTTACATTAAAAATCCACTGGTCTCAGAAGAACTAGATGGTGCCCGGCTACCACCAATGACCACCCTGACAGGGAACACAACAGAGTCCTGGATGGAGCAGGAGAAACGTGGGGTGCAGAACTCAAATTCTAGTAACACCAGGCTTAATGGTCTGAGACTGGAGGAACCCTGGAAAGCATGCCCCTAGATTCTCTATCAGCCCAGAACTAAAACAATTTCTGAGGCCAACTCTTCAGACAGTGATTGGACTGGAATGTGGACATAAAGTGATACTCGTGAGGAGTGTGCCTCTGTCCGGGGGTGAGATGGGATGGCAGACAGGGTTAGCAGCTGGTTGAATGGACACGGGGAATCAGGGGTAGAAAGGAGAAATGTGCTGTCACAATATGGGGAGAGCAAATAGAGTCATATAACAATGAATGTATAAATTTTTGTATTAAAAAAAAGAAGTAAAATAATAATTAAAAAAATCCATTGGTCTCTCTTGCATTTTGGGATAGTTTTTACTCATTTATAATTTTGTAACATCATGTATTGGTCATCTGGAAAGTATTTTGTTCACTAAGTTATGCAGATTTTCTAAATGTTAAAAACACTTCATTAGAAAATATCAAAAAGTTGCATATGTTAATATCAACACTAATCTCATCAGAAAAGCCTTTAAGTATTGGGAAGCTGTCTAGCTCACAGTGCAGATACAAGTTTTCCAGAATTCTAATTTTTGCTTAAAAGCTAGAATTTTATCATTGGCAACAAATACTGTCAGTGTTTTCCTTAAGTGACAGACTCATTTTCTTCATTTTAGAGAAAGTGTCTTGACAAATATCCAAGTCTGACTAATCATAGTTTGCCAGTGAGTTGTTTTTTCAAGCAAAACAATGTTGTTCCATAAAAAACAAAACAGCAACAATAAAAACCAGAACAAAAACCCAGCTAGTTCAGCTCACAACTCAGTCACACATGTCTTTTTTCTTGAGCCAACCATCATTGGTTAGTGGATAGCAGAAGTGTTCTGTAAGTACTTTCCATTTTATAACACAGAATATTAAAAAGATGTACTTCATCTAAAGGGTTGAGATGAAATAAAACTAATAATTTGTTCTTCTTCAACGAAGACATTCTAAAGTGAAATGCATTTTTTAATTTTTTTAGTTGTGCTTTAGATGAAGGTTTACAGAGCAAATTAGTTTCTCGTTAAACAATCAATATATTGTTTTGTGAGATTGGTTGCCAACCTCACAACATGTCAACACTCTCCCCCTCTTGACCTTGGGTTCCCTGTTACCAGCTTTCCTGTCCCCTCCTGCCTTCTGCTCCTTGCCCCTACGCTGGTGTGCCCATTAAGTCTTGTTTTGTTTTATGGGCCTGTCTAATCTTTGGCCAAAGGGTGAACCTCAGGAGTGACTTCAGCACTGAGTTAAAAGGGTGTCTGGGGGCCATATTCTCAAGGTTTCTCCAGTCTCCCTCAGACCAGTAAGTCTGGTCTGAAATGCATTTTTTGCTCCTGCAAGTACTTGGTGATAAAGGATACAATGACTCCTAAGTTTGGTGCCCTACCTTGATTCATGCTAAAGTGCCAGCGATGTTACCCATACTGCTTTTGTACCGTCGGTGCAAATGTCAACCCAGTGAAAAAAGCAAACAGCTTAGAATTACTAAAAAAAAAATAGTTTTGAACTCACAGACCCTCAAGAAAGAAATCCCCAGAGGTCCATGAAGTATACTTTGAGAACCACTGCACCAAACTGATTACCATAGAACATGCCAATAAAACACTAGCTATCTCAGCAAGAGTTAAATAAGCTTAAGAATTACTCTAAGTAAGACACTGTGTTGAGGAAAGTGACAGGGTATATTCTACCATATTCAGTTTGACTGCTAATCCCAAGTCAGACATTAAAAAATAGGAGAATTTTTTCCTACAGAGTTGATTATGAAATATTTGGCAGAAGGAATCTAATTCAAACCAGCTGCTGGACTCTTGCTGAGCAGCAGTTGGCTAGGACACACTGCCAAAAGGTCCCCTTTTTTAGGGGAGGCCAGATGAGCTCATGCAAAGGCTTTTTAGCAGCTTTTGCCCCGTAAGTCTTATAAGCACACCACCACTCAATTTTCCATGCTGTAAAGTAGCCCCACTTTCTTTGAATTTTTTTCTCTCAGTCAAAGAAAGTTTACAGGAAAAGACTACAAAATCCACATCACCTATAAAACCAAGGTGTCTATCTTTCTGCCTGTGTGATGTATCTGGCTTTAATCTCAAGAAATGTGTAAAATAAAAATCCTTTTTATCACTTTCAAGTTTTACTTAATTCTTCACCGACCTGAAATATTAGCTATTAAGAACACACACACACACACACACACACACACACACACACACACACACACACAGAGTTTTGGTTTCCAAGAATCTGTAAACATACAATCCAATCACCTTATGAATGTTCTCCAATTTACCACCAGACACTCTTTTAACTCAGTACTAAAGTCACTCCTGAGGTTTACCCTTCAGCCAAGCTTAGACAGGTCGATAGGGCTGACAATAACACACGTGAGGGACATGCTTCACAGTTCAATCGCGTGTACAAGACTAATAGGCATACTAGCCCAAAAGCAAAGACGAGAAGGCAGGAAGGGACAGGAAAGCTGGACAAATGGATACAGGGAAACTGGGGTGGAGAAGGGGAGAGTGTCGACCTATCGCAGGGTTGGCAACCAATGTCACAAAACAGTTTGTGTATTAACTGTTTAATGAGAAACTAATTTGCTCTGTAAACTTTCACCTGAATCACAATTAAAAAAAAAAAAGAATGTTCTCCAATTTAGAACAATTATTTCTTAATTATCAGGTACTATCTCCTTTTGTGGATAATCAAGGTCCTTAATTTCTTTTCCTTTCCCTATATGTTTATGCTATCTTTTTCCGACTGTTATCACTCATAAGAACATGTTCCAAAGTATTAGAATTAGTGAAATTGAACATTCAGCCGTTTCTCCTTACTCATATAGATCTCGAACTCTTTCCTACACATTAAAAAGACATAAGCACACCACTTTCTGGCCTTGCCTCCCTCTGCGGGATACCTCCTGGTCTGGTTCCACCCTCTGCTCTCTTTTAGTGGCCACACTCTACCCCCTCTGGCTGGCAGAGGATGATTGGGCCCCACTTAATTCTAGAATGCAGTGACTTAAACCAATTCCACCTGGCCAGCAGAGCCACATGGAAAAACCAAACCTCCCATCTGCCTGTCATTTTTGCTCCTTATCCACTAGCACTTCCTGAATAAGCAGTAGAGAATCTCTGCTGTATATTAATTAAACTTATTAACAGCCAAAATATTCAGAGAGTTACAGGCACCATCCATTTAATTAATGGCTAGTTCAATTTGCATGATCCAAAGAGTATATCTGAATTCCTCACATTTAATAAGGAACTTTCACTACTTTAAAAACAGGTAGCATAGAGTTCCTCTTTTAACAATGGCCAGATTAAACCAATTATACTTTTTTAACAGAATTCGTCTTTGACGTAATTTTCATTTTAAAATAATTATTATTATAATTAAAGCAGCTAACACTTAATCGAGCACTTATAATGTGTCAGACACCATTCTAGGCATTTTACAAATATTAACTTGTTTAGTAGTCACACATACCCTATCTCATTTGGGTCCACTTTACAAACCTGTGGCACAGAAAGCTTAAGTAACATGATCCCAATTAACTGTAAGTTGTGGAATAGGGATTCAAACTCAATTTATTACGGACTGGTCTTAAAAAAAAACAACCCGTTGCCATCGAGTTGATTCCAACTCCTAGCGTCTTAGTGCCTTCTATTCAATCTTATTTTTTTTTCCATTTGTTTTGTTTTAATTACAATAGTTTTACTGAAATAGAATTAATATACCATACAGCTCACATTTTTATAAACAGAATAATACTGGTAAGGGTACTTGATAAGTTAAAGGAAATCCTAAAAACAGTGAAAGTCTCCACATCATGCAAAGAATATTCTTCCTCATACGAATCTTTTTCTGCTCAAAGCAGGATACTTCCACATTGTTCTCTATGGAACATACAGATGGTTCCATCATTTAGCTCTTTTGGTTGCTGAATACTTTTCTGTGGGGCTCATTTTTAATGTGTAGTTTTTGAGTCACATCAACACCTGATTATTTTTTAAGCTCAAATAAGACCGAATGTGAATATGTATTCTAGCTTCACATTTACCATCCGTTAAGACATCGTGGCCCTCAAATCAACATTTCTCTGTTCTCTCCCCTTCCAACTCCTCACATCTGGCATGCTAGAAACATCCTGTTGCCTCAGGTCAAATAAATGTTTATTTGATGGAACCAAAATTATGTGCTCTTACCCCGCAAAGAGAAGTTGAGGAATATTTTGGCTGAGTGGTGTGGTTTATCCACAGTATCACACTCTGGTTTAGATGCTTTCATCACTCAGTCAAAAGGCTGCCACAATTTCAGTGGTTTTCTAGTCATTGTCAATAAATTAAAGGAAAAAAAAAATCTATCTTCATGACTAAGGAAGTCTTAAACGCAGCAGTTAGGAAGCTGCTTCAACCACTTAAAAACACACAAAAATACTACTGACAATTTATTCTGAGCTAGGAGCTGCAAAAAGATCAATAAGGTTGTGAAAGAAAAGGTTTTGTCTAAATCGACTACATCAGTTACTTATATGCTATTTTAGGCACTGGAGGTAATAGAATTCACTTTAAAATTTTTTAGTAGATTTAGACGAGGACAGATACTTTATTTTTTTGTTTGTAGTCTTACCTTGTGGCAACAAGAGGGTAGCTATGACATGGTGATGCCCAGGCATCCCTTGTCCACGGCATGCAGTCATAAAGCAGCAAATCCTTCTCAGTCACAGCCATGAGGACAGGTCTCCATTGTTGTCTTCCACCATCTAGTTTTGCCTGTTACAATGGTAAATTTCAGAGGGAAAGCTAACTATAACGATATGTAATTATAAAAGTCCCTTCAATAATGGCCTAACATAGCAGGTTTCCTTCTCCTCCGCCATCCTAACAGACTTAAGATACGGGAAACATCTTATATCAGGTTGTTTCCTACTGATAGGGATTCTCCATTGGGAGGTGTGAAATGGTCTGGGTAGCTCTAAGAAGCTCTCCTCCAGTGAGTTACAGACATTATCTAGTGATATGACACATTTTCTTCCTGTTCCATAATAACTGAGTATCATCAATTCTAATTAAATATATAGTAATTTGTTCAAACTGATTAACAATTTCAGTATGTCTGATGTTGGAATGACATCTCCTAAGCACAGGACAGAAATACAAAAGAAATCAGTATAATCTAAACATTAATGTTTTTCGAACACTTTTTATTAAGACCTACAATAAGAAATACATTTCACATTGCAACCCAATACGTGCATACATATATAACTATCAGAAGTTTTACAAAACAGCACTAATCCCTATACTTTGTGCAACATACTCTGATATTTTCTATTCTATTTCATTTTTTTAAAAATGCTGATCATGACCCGCAATGTTGTATTTTGAAAAACACTCATACGTACTGTTGTCAAAGAGTTCTCCTTTATATTTTAAGAAGTTTATGTTTCAGTTTCAAATGTACCATTTCATTTACTTGGATAAAGCTCAGTCACCTTTGTAGAAGTTTAAAAATGGAGGAAAACAGCCACTAGTTATCCATACTGTCATGGATCCAAGTCCCAAAAGCAAGACTCTGTTCAAGAAAAGCCCTGTCATCATCAAAACATTTGCCTCATTAGATGAGACCTTTGAGCAGGGACTGCTTAACAACAGCACATCCTAACACTGATCCTTCAGCCCACTATCACTGACGGCTTCCAGGAGACTCTGAATTGGTCAATCACTTCTCTTTTAAAGAGCTGTATTCAGAGCCACTTTTCATTTTCTCTTCCTCAATGATTTCTGAAGGTAATTTGGACATGTCAGAGCACCTTAAAAATATATCTGTCATCTGAAAAGTGGCCTGCATAGTTCAGTTCTGTGTTTTAATACCTACCACTGGGACTCTTTTCACCTAGCCAGAGCCATGAGCTAATTCCAGCAGTGTGGGAAGTGAACGCTAACCACTGAAGTGATCCAAGTTCCACCATGTACTGAAAGCAACATAAAACATGACCTGACACTGAGAATTCAAGCGAAGTATTGTAGAAATAATTACGGTTTTCTTTTTAGTGAGCCCAAATTTCCTAATACTCTACACTAGTGTGCAATACCTGGAGGAAGAATATCAGCTCTAAGGAGACTGTCTTGGATTCTTACATTTTTAGATCACAGATATCCAAAGGGATTGCTAGTTCGTGTTCCCTACTAAGTCTGTGTCTCTGAGATTGTAATGGACAATTTTCAATAGAGAAAATAATATATTTTTTCCTAAAGAGTTAAAATGATAAATCCAATTTTTTAAAATTAATTTTGCTTTTCTAAGTGACAAGAGAGAGATTCTAAAGTCTAGACCAGAGTATATACATTTGGAAAACCTAAATTTATTTCTTCCCAAAGAAGATATTTTTGATTCTGAAGGGAAAAAATGCTAATGCCAATAGGAGCAATGTTCAATTTCATGACAGAGAACTTTTTGTTTAAGTAACCAAAAAAGAAAAAAAAAAGTTTGTTCTCTAGCTCTTTTGAGTCATTTGGGTTTTTAAAAAAATATCTTTCCTCTCTTCTACTTAACCACTGGAGAAAAATGAAACCTGAATAAGTCATTCTGTCTGCCTATTTGCCTTAACTTATAAGGTTATTGTTTGCTTTCACTGAGGTCAAAATGCTGCCTGCTATATATAGTATGTGTTGTCGGTTGTGGTATCAGGACAGGTAGCCTTGGGGCTCCACTACTGAGATCTTGGCTGGAGAAAAAAGAGATACTAATGTTAGAGTTTTAGTTTGCTTGTGTTTCAACACCCATGCACAAATATACCTGGCTAAACAACAGCCTTTTCCAAATTTTATTTTCTAATAGTGTTGGACAGAGCTAAAGATGAGAAAATATTAACAGTTATTATTCATTCTCTAAATCCCTTAATCAAATAAATTTTTCTTTTTGACAGACAATGTACTTCTGTTCTTTATTTTATAATCAAGAAAGAAAACAGCAAGAACTAAAGAAACTTCCAGTAATCCTGATTTAGTGTATGTTCCTAATTTCAGTCTTTACACAATTTGGGAATCATTAGGGATAAAGTAGGAACTGGTGAAATAAGGTTTCTCTTTGGCTGTCATGACTTTTCTAATCAATACCCAAATGCTTCAGAAAACTGATTTTGGAAGTAATACATGCCCCTCCTTTGGGAGACTCGAAAGAAAATTCCTGTTAAGAATATAACCAATTAAAAGGTGAACTACCAATCACATAAAAACCAGTATCAACAAAGAGATAGAAGTTCCTATGCAGATAATTTATTATCTATCAGTCACGTCTTTGTAGTATAAGTATTTTCTGTTTTAAGTAAACCTAATTTATAACAACGTAAAATAACAAAAAAGATAAATTAAGTAGAGATCATTTAATGTTAAAGAAATGACTCTTCCTTAATTTATGTGCCCAAAATGTCTCTCTCTTCTAAGTGCAAAAGAAACAGTTTCCTTTATGAGCAAGCTCTTCAGAAAACACACCTCTTGCCAAAAGAGAGGCCTACCTATACTAAACAGGTTACATGATCTAAAATTTTCTCAACCATTTTCATATTTATAGAATGAAATTAATCTTAGAGTTAGGAAGGGCTTTGGCATTTACCTAGTTCAACCTTTATCAGATACAAAAGCTCATTCTATAACATCTCTGAAAAACGGTATTAAGTCTTATTTGAATATCTCATTCTGACAGTGATATCTAACTTGGGAAATCCAAACAACTATTTCAAAAAGCAAAAATCAAGAGTAATTTAGAAACAGTACTTTCAATTAGTTTAGTGGTACTATTTTATAAGTGGTTAAAACTTCTCCACTTAATATCATTCTCCAACCCTGAGCTTCTGTTCTTGGACAATACCTTATAATTAGTGATTTGTTTCACTATTTCATTATTTGCATTAGTTATGTTCTAGAAAATTGCTGCAAACACTGGATTAGTGAATACTGAACCTGCTTTCCTGGGGGAAACAAAGGATTAGATTCTGTGAGCCTCGGTCACATTTTCATCAACTGATCAATACATAACCTTACTTTATGTGTGTTTCTATTTAAAGAGATCGTATTTAATATATATTTTTGATTCATTAACAGTTGAACTCATGGCCAAGAGTACTATAACTCATGTCTGAACAAAGCTTATCTAACACACATATTTTCCCTATAAGGCACATCACTGCCTTCTTGTGCTTAGGAACACTAGATAGCACTTCAGCACTATACTTGGAGACCATGTTAAACAGCAAAATCATCAAAAAAAAGGCACAAAAATGAGAAAAACTTGGCACTAAGTAGACCATGTAAAGGACACTTGTTTACAGTATGAGAGCTGAAACAAGAAGGCAGAGTGTTGCCTTGTTCTACCTCAGCTGGGAAGGTGTGTGTCAGCTGACTAAAATTTCTCACTGCACTGTACATGTCTGTGAATGACCACAAAAGCACCATGATTATTGATTTTTGGGTTACTAATACATTTTACCGAGTAGGCTAATTTGTAAATATGGAATGCATGAATAAAGAGGACTGACTGGCTGTAGACAAAGAAAAAAGCTATCGAGCACCTACTGTATACAATGTATGAGGCTAAGTTCTCTGAAGGCAATAAAGATTTGGAGAAAATGTTCCTCTGTCTTCTAACAGCTCACAATTGAGTGGAGGAAACACACATATAAATAATGCCCATAAAAGGCAAATTGTGATGAACTAGTGGATATATTTTTCTCCTTTCTTCTTGTCTTTATGTAGCATAAATCAAATTAAGTTTACTTTAAAAGTCTGGCAACTCTCATACATTGCTGGTGAAGTCTAAATTAGGAAAAGCCCGATGGAAGGCAGTTTGGCAATATTTCTTAAAATCACAAATGCATACACTCTTTATGGTAGTTTTAAAATATGTCCATTCTTCTTTGCTACTCTTCAAAAGGTGCAACTTTAATTCTCCTCTCCTTGGGTGTAGCCTGGACCTACCGACTTTCTTCTAATGAAAAGAATAAAGCAGAAATGATGGTATATGTCTTCCAAGATTAAGTCATTAAAGGCCCTGCAGCTTCCACTTTGTCTTCTGTCAGCTCATTCACTCTGAGGAAAACCAGCTGCCATGTCATGAGGACACTTAAGCAGCCCTACGGAAAGGCCTGCGTGACGAGGAACAGAGGACTCCTACTAACAGCCATATGAATCATTTTGGAAGTGTATCCTGGTCAAGTCCCTAGATTACTGCCACCCTGGCTGATAGCTTGACTGCGACCTCATGAGAGATTCTGGGCTAGAACCTCCTAGCTAAGCCGCTACTGGATTCTTGACCCTCAGAAACTGTGTGAGATAGATGTTTGTTATTTTATGCCACTAATTCTAAGGGCACTTTGTTATGCAGCAACAGATAACTAACTCATCCGTTGACCCAGAACTTCTGGGAATTTATCTTACAAGTAGAGAAATATCCCTTACTCTCCAAACCTCCACTATTTAAACTCAGGATCTGATGTAAATTTTTTAATAAATCCCTTACTAACCAAAGTTTTCCTATTCACTACTAGAATCTTAAGAACCAAATATATTCAGATAATCTAGGTTTTCTTGATATCTGATCTATCTGAACTCAGGAGACAAAGAGTATGGACAGCACACATGTGAAAGGACAAACTACAAGGTTATTCATTGTAGCACTGTTTGTAATGGCAAAGGATTTTTTTTTTTTATTGCACTTTAGGTGAAGGTTTACAGAACAAATAGTTTCTCATTAAACAGTCAGTATACATATTGTTTTATGATATTGGGTAACAACCCCACGACATGTCAACACTCTCCCTTCTCCACCTTTTTTTTTTGGTGAAAATATACATAGCCAAAGATACACCATTTCAAAAATTTCTACATGCACAATTCAGTGACATCAATTACGTTCTTCCAGTTGTGCTGCTATTCTCACTTTAGATGAAGGTTTACAGAACAAAATGGTTTCTCATTAAACAGTTAGTACACATGTTGCCCTATGACAATGGTTAACAACCCCGCTACATGTCAACACTGTCCTTACTCAATCTTCGGTTCCCTATCACCAGCATTCCTGTCCCCTTCTGCCTTCTAGTCCTTGTCTCTGGACTGCTGTGCCTCATTAGTCCCGTTTTGTTTTAACCTGTCCAATCCCCGTCTGAACGGTGAACCTCGGAAGTGACTTCACCATTGAGCTAAAAGGGTGTCTGGGGGCCATACTCTCAGGGTTTCTCCAGTCTCTTTTAGGCCAGTAAGTCTGGTCTTTTTTGTGTGTGTTAGAATTTTGTTCTACATCCTTCTCCAGCTCTGTCCAGTACCCTCTGTTGTGATTCCAGTCAGAGCAGTCAGTGGTGGT